ATTCAAGGCTTGAATAAAGCCTTGGCAATAAATCTCGTTCAAGCCTTGCAGACTAAGCCTGAAACGAGGTTATCATTTTAGGCGTGAAGGAGGATTGATCCAAGGCTGACCCCCAGCCCTGATTGAGCAATTCCGAGCCTTGGTCCAGGGCTTGATGAGCCCTCTTTCTATCGTCAATTCTTACCTGGGCGGGCTCACTCGACGCCGGAGAACCGTCCGGGGTTACTCCGCGCTTTTGAAAATTCATTCCTCCGCTCCTAATTCAGATTAAGGAATGAAACCGGTGTCATTTATTAAAAATATAAAATTCTCAAATATAAATAAATAAAATCTAATATAAAATGAATAAATATTATAATATATTGAGAAATTCTAAAATTTTGGTAAATTCTCGATCGATAGGCGTTGGTTTCATTCCTTCATCTCAATTAGGGAGGGGCGAAATAAATTTTTGAATGAAAAGAACTTGTCCAGAGTTACTCCTTTGAAAATTCCTCCACTCCTAATAGAGATTAACGAATTCATTCATTCCTCCGCTCCTAATAGAGATTAAGGAATAAAACCGGTGTCATTTATTGAGAATTTAATTCTCGATCGATCGGCATCGGTTTCATTCCTTCATCTTAATTAGGGGGGGGGGAGAAATTAATTTTCCAATCGGGGGAGCACCTCCGGCCTCACTCGACGCCGGAGAACCGTTCGGGGTTACTCCGCGCTTTTGAAAATTCATTCCTCCGCTCCTAATAGAGATTAAGGAATAAAACCGGTGTCATTTATTGAGAATTTAATTCTCGATCGATCGGCATCGGTTTCATTCCTTCATCTTAATTAGGGGGGGGGGAGAAATTAATTTTCCAATCGGGGGAGCACCTCCGGCCTCACTCGACGCCGGAGAACCGTTCGGGGTTACTCCGCGCTTTTGAAAATTCATTCTTCCGCTCCTACATGGAGAGAACAATACACGACAATCTCGTTGAAGGTCTCGCCAAAAATTAATGTGCTACCCACCAACGCTGGGACGTGTCAGGGGGTAACCTGTTAATTGAAATGGAACACTCCTATAATTCGGGGGAACAAGTTAAAAAATAGTAGGCGCGCACCACAAAGTCGTGCGCTCGGGGATCCAAAAATTAGTGTGCCAATCCACTAAACGCCATACGATAGTCTACGTGCATACGAGGCTCATTCATTTTTCAAAGAACAGAGGTCACCACTTAGTAAAGGAGCACAGGCGAAAAATTAGTGAGTGGCACACTAAAATTTGGAGAGGGGCCCGCCAGTGTTTCGTCTTTAGTTCCATAAAACTGCGATTCCTTAGGCTAGTTTCTAATGAGCGGAAAAAAGTGGGGTGCAGGACACGAAATTTTGAAGAGAGTAATTCCAATTTGTGTAGAGTGTTCTCTATGTATTTGTGCCCCATTCAGTATGGCCCATGCGTTAGTGCGAAGGTACAGTAATTTTCGAGAGTTTTTGTCTCCGTGTACTTGAGATTAAGGAATGAAGCCGCTGTCATTCATTGAGAATTTAATTCTCGATCGATCGGCATCGGTTTCATTCCTTCATCTCAATTAGGGGGGGAGAAATGAATTTTTGAATGAGAAGAACTTGTCCGGAGTTACTGCGCGCTTTGAAAATTCATTCCTCCTCTCCTAATAGAGATTAAGGAATGAAACCGCTGTCATCTATTGAGAATATAATTCTCGATCGATACATGTTGATTTCATTCCTTCTTCGCAATTAGGGGGGGNTTCATTCCTTCTTCGCAATTAAGGGGGGGGGGGGGAGAAATGAATTTTCCAATCCGGGGAGCCCTCCGAGCTCACTTGACGTCGGAGAGCCGTTCGGGGTTTCTCCGCCCTTTTGAAAATTCCTTCCTCCGCTCTTACTTGAGATTAAGGAATGAAACCGCTGTCATTCATTGAGAATTTAATTCTCGATCGATCGGCATCGGTTTCATTCCTTCATCTCAATTAGGGGGGGAGAATAGTTATTTGTGTCACAAGGCCCGTAAGTGGAGGTTTGCGATGAGTGTGAAGTTAGCAGTACGAGGCGTCGGTAAGGTAGGGACGAGGCTCGCCGAAGGCGAGCCGAGTGGTGAAAAGTCAGTGTGCGCCGCGAAAAAATTATTTTTCTTACTGGCCCCTGACTTTCATGGCAGTTTTTATTCTTTTGTTACAGAGATTAAGGGATGAAAGAGGATAATTGATGGGGAATTTAATTCTCTGTCGAACTGCCCTTTTTTTATCCCTTAATCTCAATTAGGAGGGGAGAAGTGATTTTTTAATTCGCGGGCGAATGGAGAATAGTCAGTATGCGCCGCGAAAAAATTATTTTTCTTACTGGCCTCTGACTTTCATGGCAGTTTTTCATTTTTTGTTACAGAGATTAAGGGATGAAAGAGGGTTAATTAATGAAAAATTTAATTCT